AGATGTTTTATTTTGTACAGTACCCAAGATTTTGTGACTCACGTTACAAGTGACTCGCGTTACATTTTTCTGAGCTAAATTTCTAAAGGAAATAAGGAGACATGGGTCTTATGCCCCCTTGTTTATGTTCTTTATACCTTAAAGGAGGAGATTTATAGATGACAGTTCAGTTCTCACAAGGAGCTGTTAATAACACTAACTTCAGTATGTTGGTGTGACTCGCGTTACACTGCTGGCACACTCCACTTTTAACACAACTGCCTGGTGAATAGCCCCAAAACTGGCAAATTTTCACTGTCATTATTGTTTGTGCATGGACAAGGGATATAATTACCAAATACAGAATCAAAATCTAACAAGAAATTGATCTTACAATGTATATCATAAAATTCATGTAAAAATAGGAAAAAATTGATTTTATCCCAATGCTAACTTCTGAGGAAGAATTTTCTAATAAATAGGCTTGTCAGTGCAAGAGTAACCATTTGTTTAGACCCTTAGGGGTGTCCCCTGCAATAAAACCCAAATATTTCACACCAGTGCAGTAAATGAAAAATCAATCCATTTTCCCTTTTAGTGTGGAATTACCCAACTGCAAGTTAACACTCATTCCTAATATACAGAATTCCCATCAACAAAAAAACTTTCAGACTGCTACAAGACTACAAAAGATTCTGATCACCTATCTTGCTTTTCCCAGCCAGGTTCAAATTTAAAAAAATAAACAGAAAACCATTTAATCATTTTAAAGAAATTTAAGGATTAACATTGCACACAAAATTACACTGGATTGGATTACAGGAACCAACACAACACATATGTTACGTTGCGAAAACAAGGCACATAATGCTCAACACTATTTATCAGCTATTAGTGGTGCACGGACGTGGAAATTTTAGCTTATACTGATAATAGACACTGATTACTGTGGTAACAAACTGATAACCAGCTAAGCTTGATGTTCAACATGGAAAACACTATGCTAACTGTGACCAAGTTGGTTAAGGCTAAGGGTAATACCACATTTTCTTTAATAGTGTCTGTGCCCAGCCCAGTAGCATTGACTTTGGGAGACTTCAGCAAAGTCTTATGTGGTGAGTGAACTGACAAAACCACTCAATCGCCACTAGAGAAAATGGCTGACTGTCCAATGCAATCATCTTGATCATTTAAATTATGTTTTTAGATCTGGTGAAACTAACATTGAATATTGATTGACTAAATAAGACGAAATATCAGGCAGCATATCATCGAAAATTGCCACACTGGACCAATAACAATGTCTTAATTTTTAAGGAACATCGCCCAATACTGGTATATGTTGTGCAACTTAATCAGCTATCACTTTCTACTTTGGTTTAGAAAATAGGTATAGAGTTCATTTTGAGTTTCAGACACCCACAAAACCCTTAAAAGGAAAAGAACCACTATGAATCTGGTTTTCAAGGACACTTTATCCTCTATCCCAGTCATCACATGGCCATGATGGAGAACACGGAACCCCACAAAGACCCTTACCATTTTTATTCACTACAGGCCGGCAGTCACTGCAAATCCAGTCACGCTGGAAGGGCTTCAAGGAAGAGCATAGCCGATGAGTTCCCCTGGAGCCACAGAACTTACAGCGTATAATCACCCACTTCCTGGAAAAAAGTGATAAAGAAATTTTGTACACCTGAAGAAAAAAGAAACTGTATACTGCAATGTCACAGTGGCTATCCTTCACTTTTCAAGATTTACATAAAAACCTCATACTTTATAAGATGAAAAAAATATCCTTGATAAACATTTAAATAGCAAACAATCACAAACCTAGCACAGCAGGAACAGCACAATCATTGTTGACAGTATAAAAAGTAAGGTGCATCTGGGGGGTGTTACTTTAAAGGGGCGGTCCCATAAATATATTTTGTCAAATGTGATCGACAGATTGGCCACAAAGGAAATAAAGCATTATCAATCTCACAATCAAGGGCTTGGGCACCCCTGCATTAAGGCAAGCAGTCCCAGTGGGTCAAGTGGTGTAATAATGCAATAACTGCTTTAACTGTTTAATAACTGCACACTTTAGGAATAGAACTTATTTGTACTCTTTTGTAACACCAATAATCACAAGACGATATTGTGCAGACATGAAGTGGATGACAGTAGTCTGGGTAAAAAAGTCTGTGTTCTGTTTGCCTTAAGTCTTGGTAAATGCACATAAACATTTTTTTAGAAAATTATTACAGAAAGGTAGTTTCTTTGGTTTCAGTCAACTGGTAAATATCCCCAAGGGGCTCACTCAGGTACTGGAGAATTTGGGGGCCACCACCCCAAGTAAAAGGAGATGAAGGCAGCGTAGAAGCACGAGGAAAAGCAAGAGAAGAGAACTGGGACACAAGCCAGACAATGGAGTGCATTCTACAAAGCCCAGTCAATAATTAATAAAATGGATGAAACTCAACTATGAATAATATCGCAGAAATGAATAACTGAATAACTTTGCTATGACCATGAAGACCGGTGTGAAGGGTAACATCTTGGATGCCATGATTGACACGGCTCACCACTCAGAACAGCGGGCTCCAGGAAAACCAATGGTGAAGAGCGTGTATTAATACAATGAGCGACAATACAGATATTGTCAAGAAACACTGCTTTGATTACATAATGCTGAAATGCAAACTACTATTTATTGAGGGAATTTACAATGGAAATTCTGGTCACTGTCTACATACTGCTGCAAGCTAATAAGCTAGCACATGGATTAAAGTTTTCTGTTGCTATGACGGATTTCCATCAACTGAGTGCACTAAAAGTTAATGAGATTTATGCAGATTCGAAGAAGAAAAATGGGAGGGGGGCTGGAAAGGCTGTATTTCTTTTGTTTAATTACGATTTAATTATTCTTCCTAAAAATAAAAATAAACATTATGGTTTCGGCAGTTCGCTTAAACATTAATGGCTGCGGAGTAGCCTACAGGCTGCAAGCCATTTCCCGACGCGTGTTTAAGATGCCAAACTTCATAATAAGGAGAAAATAATTCCCCGGCATTTAGTGCCACATCAGTCTCAAAGGCTTTTAAAGTCCCAAAACAAAGACAAGATCTGCAAAAGGGTGAATGGCACGGGCTTCTTGTTGCCTGGCGTATGCAATAATAATAACAACAATAATAGTAACAATAACAACAGCAGCAGCAATAGGGCATAATAGGCTAGTAGTAGTATATTTTACATTTTCAAAAAAAGATCGGAATAGAACGTATTATGTTTGGAAGGCAGTGGTGTGTCATGAAGTGTCTCATTCGCTAATAGTAGCTAAAAAAAGGTCGGGAAACGGAGAAAACCCATTGCTTAAATAGATAAAGAAGCCAAAACTTCTTTATCTATTTAAAAAAGCTCAAGATTCAGGACAGTGGCTCCAATGTCGCAAGTGCTGCAAGAGCTTATGCTCTGTTAAATATAAATAGCAGCAGTTTTGAAGTCCGTTTTCTTGCTGTTAACAGAGGAATGGCAATGGGAAGCTGCTCTAAATTTCCCGTATTTTGGGTCGGGATCTTGGGATTTTTCAGCCTGCTTTAAAATGAGTTTTTATTTGTAAACATAGGCTATATAAATAGCTGATATGACAAGAAATTACCGTGCATTTTAACCTCTATACCGCAAATGAAGTACGAATTAGCATATACAGGTTAAAATGCATGATAATTTCTTGTCATATCAGTGCAAATGCACATAAAATATGTACCGTATTTTTTGGACGATAAGACGCACTTTTTCTCCCCCAAAAGTGGGGAGAAAAAGTCACTGCGTCTTATGGTCCGAATATTGCTCTGCTCACATGCTTTAACCTTCTGGAGTCGAGTGCATAGTCGGCGACGCAGTCTGGCGATCCAGATACATCCCCATCAGCGCCATAAAAGAGAGGAGGGATGTGGCTAGGTAAGGATGGTTGACATAAAATATTTTAGGACACTATTTGGTTCAGAATCTTTTTTCTTCATTTCCCTCCTCTGAAAATAGGTGCGTCTTATTATCCGGTGCGTCTTATGGTCCGAAAAATACGGTACGCATTTGCACTGTCACAGCAATGGATTGCTGCACTTATCGCTTTTAAAGGTGAATGCGTACTTGCGTGCCAGTTATATGCAGCCATGATTATAACAAAGATTGTATCAGAAATTCGGTTTGGTATCGGCACTGATCCAGACCTATTTGACGGATCGGGTATCGGCCATGTGTGACCAATCCACATCCTATACTTACTTATTTCGTTTTTGGCAATCTCTAAAAAGATAGATTTAACACGAAATAGGAGCTATTTGCACAATTAATCGCACAACAGCTCTTTCCCATTTTACATGTGTTTTTTTGTGGCATTCAAGTCAAACAATAACCTCATGCTAAATGTAAAAGCTGGTAGCTAAATAGGAGCCATTTTATAATTATGCAATTTATAATCCGTTTAGTAGACTAATCATTTTAATAGTCGATGACTAGTTGACTGTCAAAATAGTCATTAGTTGCAGCCCTAGTGTTTACTAATTTGATTGCACAGCACTGTTTCAACTGTACCCGTGTGCTTTGGAAATAATCTGAACTTCAACTTTATGCAGAGATAAATCAAATTCACTAGTTCGCTGGAACTACATGCTACACAACATGATGGGTGCAATTCTAACATAGAGTATGACTGCATTTCAGCATTGCTTTGGACATATGTCCAAGGTTGTGATCGACAGTTGGTGCATCATGACATTGGCTGGAATGGCTGCTTGTAAACTAAGAAAGCCTAAAATATACACTATTTAAATGGATTGGATTTGCCTGGGAATATAGCATTAGTGATGTTAAATCCCCAGTTTCAGGTTTCTTTGAGTACACATCAGCTCTGTGATGGAGTAGGCAGGGACAAGGTCGTTCAGAATGCTGGGTCTTAAACTTTTCAAAGGGGTCACAAAGTAAACAAGTGTGTAGCTGATCTTAGTGCCGACTACCAATAGGATATAATTTGTTAAAGCACACGTAATTACGTTAATAACACTAACGTTAGAAATATATAACGTTAAAAGTTACCTATTATTCACATTGTTTTGCATGCTACAGCACCAAAAATAGTATGCGATTTCCTTTTTTTCCACAAAAATAAATTATGCACTTCACCAACTCATCTGGAACACCAATAATTTCAAACACCTTGCTTAGTCTATGCCTATTTTTATACTGACATCCACAAGTAATGTAATTTAATGTAATCCACGATGCAAGTAATTTTATGCTGCCTAAACACGGGCATTTTTACCATGGCTCGAGGGTAAAATGCCATGTGCAGACGTATTCTCTCTCACAATTTGTAGCCCAGTAGTGTTCCATACAGGTCCTCTTCCATTATGCTTGAGAACTATTTGGTCAGAACAAAAAGTTTACATGGTTGCGTTCCATGGAACTTTCTTTAGTGGAGCAACTCTGTATTGCGACTGGTTTGCCGCTGAACCTCATTGTAGGTCATATCACCATAAAGCTGACCAGGTTTCAACTTTATTTTGACACTCTCACCGCCCAAATTGCAACACACTAGTGGTGGGCTATACATTGATTTTATCGATTAATTCAAATTTACAGTTCAGAACGATGTGTTTTTATGAAAATCGATTTTATTACTTATTTTACACACAAGTGACAAAAGCGGAATTAATGCGACGCACCATTCTTCACAGGTAAATTAGCGCAACGCACCAAAACACTGTAGCAGATTCACAAATAACATGGCAACGATAGGGGAAAAGTTGGAGCTTGTGCCCAAGAAAGGTGTTGCTACATCTGTAACATGGAATTGGTTCGGTTCACAGACCAAACAAGTCCTCGTTGCAAAGTCTGTTTAAAAAATGTTGCAACCAAAGGAAGCAGCATGACAAAATATTCCAGCACCTAAAGCAGAGGCACCGAGCAGAGTGGGAGAAGTGCAGCTCCCAGGGAAATGAAAACACCCGCAGCACCAGCACAACATCCAAAGTTAAGCAAGCAACCGTCCCTGATACGTTTTCAAATTGTGTGCCATATAATAAGAATGGGGCACGGTGGAAGGCGATAAACGCTGTCGCGATGTATATTGCAAAAGACATGGTGCCCATACATACTGTGGAAAAGCCAGGATTCATTAACATGATAAAAGTTTTTACACGTTTCTAAAAGTGTTTACAATGGCGTGGTCTGCCATCTCACAAGCATCTTTTTTGGCTCGTCAGATTGCACTTTATTTTGTTTTTTTTTTTTATTTTAGCGTTAAAGTTAAAAAAAAAATTTTTTTGGAACCATTTATTTGTCATCTGTAGTTTGATTTGGAGTAGGGGAGGGGAAAATCAATTAAAATTGAAAATCGGATTTATTGTGAAAAAAATCAGATTTTATTTTTAGGCCATATCGCCCAGCTCTACAACACACTGCACCTCACTGCCTGGCAACGCACCCTCCAATAGGAGTATGAATGACTTCCAGGCACTTTGATGTTCTCGCAGCTGAACTAGTGGACACCAAAAACGTTAAGATAAAGTGCATAAGAATGAAAATAAGAAATTAAAGTGCCCAGTCAGTTCTTAGGCTGGTGTGGTGCTTGTAGAGGACTGAGCATATAAACAGTTCTTATGATGAAAATAGAACAGTA